GTTAACGAATTAAACTATCGCTTACATTGATTAATAAATTAATTTCCAATGCGTATTTACAGCATTGCAATCGGCAGTGTATTCTAAAAACAGTTATCTGCCAATTAAATGAAAAATCCATGTATGCTACTAGACAGCATAAAATACTGGGTATAGCCAATACACTTGAAGATACTAGATAATTTTCCATAGTTAAATTACGATCAATAGTTGGTAATCGAAGACCAACGACAGGTATTTTACGACCACTGTAACTATTAAATTTATCTCGATGTTTTGTAGCTTTTGCATTTGCGCCAGGAGTATCAATTAAGTAGAAAAACGCTTCAATTGGTATTTCGTCGCATTTCCTTTCATTCCAAGCTTCAATTTGCAACTTTGATTGATATTTTTCAGCATTGACACCTCGTAACTTGATGTATCATTATATCGAGTCTTTAATCATTGTGCGATATCTAGGTCTAAAATGTCGCAAATTGCTTTTGATATCAATGGATTATAAACATTGTGACTTTTATCTGGAATTTTCAAGTGATACTACATTTGGTTAATATTTTCTCTTGAATTTATACCAATCTGTAGCTTCATCATTAAATCATCTGTCGCTACATCATCTTCTATTAACTCAGGGAGAAATGATTATCAGGAAGAAATTGTACATGCTAATCAATTTCATTGGATATAATCAGTCTTATAATCGCCTCGATATAATCAGGCTTCTTGACTCAGATAAAATTCTTTAAAACTACATTTTACGAATTGACATCGTTGAAACCGTTTATTTTATAAGAGCATCTTTTCAGACCAATCAAATGGTTATTATCAGACCCTGACTCGACTATTTTAAAATATTAGTAACCGACGCAATAAAATTCCATAAAAGATGCAAAAATAATTCCAACGAGATAATATTTTATAGGCATTTAAATGACATTTGTTTTATAAATGTGTCAAACTGAGTTTGCGTGACACACAAATAAAATCACATTTACGTGACGAACGCGTATTGCAATAAAATTTAATTAAATTCGCAAATAAAATCGATCGTGCGAACAATTTTGCAAAGCATCATGTATCCACTTCACCAACCGAAATTGAAATTGTTATTATTAAGTAATCATTTGGCTGAAAGAAGCGAAGCGACGAGTTTCCATCTCTTGAAGCTCCATTTTGAAGGATACTATAATTATTTCGTAGAAATGAGCAGAGAAAAGTGGTTATTATTCGAGTGTATTGTGTGTAGTAGGAAATTAAACGAAATAAATTGCAAACAGAAAAAAAACGTGTCCTGAAAGCACGTTGCAAAATGCTCCTTTAGTGATACATTTGAATCCTTTACTGCACTCGGGGGGCTTAAGTAAGAGACCGAAACACTTTTCTTCTTCAATTGTATTTTGTGTCTGACTGTGTGTACAGTGCATGTTTGTGCTAATATATAAGAGCACAATGTTTTTTGTTTCTTCTTTCGCTCTCAATAAAGCATCAAATAAGTATGGCATTTGGGTAAATTGCCGATGCATATGGGAGGTTTCTTGTGTTTGTTTTGTTTTTATTGTATGTCGCACATTTTCCGTGTTCATTCCAACGTGTGTGTCACCATGTGTGTGAGTGTGGGCACGTAAGCTCGCAAATTAGAATTTAAAACAACATTTAAATACCTTTACGTGTTCAAGTAAGCCCAATTGCGTTCACCGCCATTTCTTGTACAATTACATGCACAAGAGAAATAATACTCCATATTAAGTACATGGAATGTGAATGTATTTCGAGAATTATTCCAAATGAAATTAACACAGTGGGACCGAAGGCAAAAAGACATACACACATATTACCCATCGACAACAATAACGAAAAAAAAGTGAAGCCGAATACAAATAAAAATATCCTTAATGCTTGCAATGCATTCAACGAAATGGCATTTGTTTGTCACAAAACGATAAATATATTCGCAAATACGAAAGAGGTGCGAAAATGTTCGGTTTAGTGTGGCTGCT